TGCAGGCAGCTTTCCTGCTGGTCGAATCCAGTGCGCTTAAAGGCAAGATTCGGGATAAAATAGGTGTGGAAAAGCGTTCAGTTATGAAGCTAGAGGTGGGAGGTGGTCTGGAAAAGAGAAGGAAAGCAAACGAAACCACCGATTACGCCCCGCACAGAGACCTCCCCTATTTCAGCCACATTCCACCTTGGGATAGAGAAGGGCGCGTTGGACGAGTTTCACGAACCTAACTCTAGTTGCTCCAGTGCCAATAACATTGGGTCGCAATGGGACCGCTGCCTCAAATGCGCCCGCGCTTTTCAAGCAGCGCCACGTGGCAACCGACAGCGGAGGGTGGGGCTTGCGGACGAAGGTGTGAGTTGCGGGTCGGACGAGCTCCTTGCGCCTTTGTCGCGCACTTTCAAGCGCAAAAGGGGCGCGACATCAACGCTTGTCCGCCTGTCTACTACCCCGGGATGGAACAGGCGAGCGCGCCTAATCCCGGAGCGTGCCTTTAAGTGTGTAGTTTACTCAAGGCCAGAGCTATCTTCATTAGCATCATTTTTGTCAAGAGATTCCTTTGATGCGAAAGAAGAAGAGAAATCTGAATCATGGTCACACGGTTCTCCTCCCCAGACTGGCGCAACCCATGTGGTGTCAATGGCGAACATACTGATCGCCGATCTTTGATAATTGTCTAATGAATGCATCTAACCATATGGCCACAGTGTTGTTAAGCAGCGACAACGGTAGCAATCAGCTGCGCCGCTAGGAAGTCGAGTAAATGCACTCCAGTCATCATCTACTGCCGTCCAGCTCCGTGCTCACTTCGAACAAAATATCTCCAGTTGCGAGGCAATAGGGCCAACGGGACACCATGGCCTAGTGAATGACATCCCTCCTGACTACAGCACAGATGCTAGCTGCAACACAACGGAGTGGCTTTACAGGAGCTCGAAAAATAAAATAGGTCAAAAGATGGTTGATTCAGAGAGAAGTTTGAAGCAGTAAAACGCTGCACGAAGCCTTCCATTTACGCTTCTGCCGAAACCTCCGAAGATACACTGCAGCAATCAAATGCCAAAACTACTGAAAAGAGTTTCGATTTTTGCCTGAAATAAATTCTTTCAAAGTGTCGCAAGATTTTCTGGACAACCCAAAATTTCTTTGTAAATTTTGCGCATGCTCGCAGCTGAATTTGGAGGAAATTCGTTCGTGAACCTCCTCGGAACATGGTCAGATGCTTTTGAAAACTATCGTAGTTACTCAGCTGGAGGTGCGAATTACTCAACATTACTCTTAGGGAACTTATATTAGTAATGCGTTAGTAATGCGAGAGTCAAAAAATATTATTCGGCGTTTTTTAGAAATTGGTGGCGCAATGTACCTTGGGGGGGGGCTGTCTATCGGAAGACACTAGGACTAAGCCTAAGGCACAGGGACGAATTTTAGAGCGAATGAAAATTTGCTTACGCAGCTCGGATTCCCTCTTTTCCTCCAAAGCTTAGTCCCAAAACTGAAAGTTTCGTGAACCTGAAGCAACATTGCCTGCTGGACCACAAGAGCCTCATTGCGCCGACTCGATTTCTCCCCTTAATACACTCACGCGTTTAAAGTTCCAATCCATTGCATTGCCTAAATGTGTGCTTGGGTCGTGCCATTCTAAAACTCCTGCCGCTTTTGTTTCCACGGTGGGAGCGCGTTACAACACTAGTGTTGACATTCGTCAGCTTCATTATGGAGCCCTGGATCGGGTTATGAATAGAGAAGAGGTTGGTACATAATGTGTAGCGCGAGTGTTCAGCACCATAAAACTAGTCAGCGATTTTCTCTCCGTCACAGTTTCCAAGTATGACTTCATTTTGCAAGAAATTACCGGATTTAGATCAAAATTTGTGGCCCTACCTTGAAAGTCCTCATGGTTTTCAATTTGTACGACATCCTTCTATTATATAAAGCGCTAACTTTGTGTGTCGGTTTGTGTATCTGTATGTGTGTGTGTGTGAGTGTGTGTGTGTGTGTGTATGTATGTATGTGTGTCCGTCCGCAAAATGAAGTGAGTGAGAAGGAAGCTCATGGGATAAACAAACCGCTAACAAATCGGGTAGCTTACAGGATTTGAGATATCAATGTTTTGTAGCAGGATAGTTGTGATAACACTCTTAGGGCTATATAAACACCTGCTTAGCACACTTCCGTTCATTCCACATGGTGCTGCAGTGGCAGCTGGAGGGCAGTGGAGAGAGGAAGGGAGGATGAGGAAGGGAAGCGAAAAATCTACCGTCATATCATGATTGTGTCCCTTCTACTGTATGAAACACCATTGTGTTGCATACGCGTCACTTCCAGGAGGTGTTGGTGTCACAGGAGGAAGGGACCATAGCGGAGGATAGAAAGCTTGCGCATTAAAGGAAGGTCCCGGCGGTTGACGGGGGACTAATCTGGTAATTAATAAATTAAAATACCTAATTTCACTAGAATACCCCCAAAACTTGAAATCAATTAATCCACTGGCAAAAACTAAGTCAGTAGAAATTGCGATTTAACAAGGATCAAACCGAAAAATATGCACAGGCAGACTCTTCAGATCCCAATGACAGAAACGAAGCGCGATTTCGTGTGACACCGCCTCCCGCGAATCAATCACGACACGCGAATTTGAAAAAGACGTCTATGCGACGCTCCAATGAAAGTACGTGCCCCAGTGCAATAGTGATTGGCGATGCGAACCGGTCGCGCCTACGACCCACCACGAGAATCGTTGCAGTATACAAATCGTGCAACTCTCCGTTGTTGCCCCCACCAACAAAGTAACACGGAAACGTACGGCTCTGCCTTGGCTTGAATACCTCCGAGCGCCGTAATGGACAGCTTTACACCTTCGCCTCCTCCACTGTAACAAGTAAGAATGATTCAGACCTTTGCTACAACTTGAAGTACAGATTATTAGGTCTTAAAACCAGTTTTTGCAGTTGACAAAAAAGCAACGTTCACAAACTATCAACAAAAGGATATAATGGTACCGAACAGAACATATTTTATGAAATAGAATAATATTTAGTCACTTCTTCGTAACGAATCGATGTAACCTTTCGGTAATAACGATAAGGGCCGCGTCTCATAGATACTCGATAAGTTCTTCCCTATCACTCGCGCGCTTTTCCCTGAACTCATGCAGTCGTACAAAAATGACTGTCGTGTTCCGGACCGATTCATAGCGAAAAGGCTGTCCTCCATGAATAATTTGGAATAATTTGGCTTCCATCGGCTCAAGTGATGGTCGAAAGTGATTTGAAGATCAAGCAAATCTCTCGCAGAACAGCGAGATGCGACTAATCCTACGAGCGCTTGTGATCTACAAGAGCATCCTTCTCTACCTCCGATTGTCCATAGAATGGATTTTCTTGAGTTTATTTCTCTTCGGAAACCAAACCTTCATGCGTAAAACTTGATTTGTTGCATCTAGTGATCACAACTGATACGCTCATATTGATAGAGGACGGGATGAGCTACTTGGCCTCTGTATAAACAAGTGCCTCACTTCCCAGTCTTGATAAGTGCACTGCATCCGCCGCAAACGGTGCAGATAACTAGCAGTACAAGTGAAAGT